CATGACGTTCAACCGATTCTACGTTCCTTATAGCTGACCGTCTTAGAACTTTCCAAGGGGAAAGTTCTTTTCACAAGACTGTTTTCGCGTTCACAGTTACAACAGTTGATTTATAATTTCATTCGATATCTTTGTTTCTCCGCATCGATATATTCGGTTCCCTTCGTCGTTCGAAAATAATTTTAAACGCCTTTTATACCGTATGCAGAAAAATTCTTCATTCACGACTCGCTTACAAACTGTAATAAAGAATTTCTACTTTCGCTTGCAAGTAAATTTCACACGTGTTTACAACTTCCTTTAATTTTAATCCTGCTAATTAGCAATTATCACACAAATTGATTTAAGCTTTAATAAATAATGTTTGAGCAGAAGTACTGCTTAGAAAGTAAGACAGAAATTAACCTTTAACAGATGATGTCCCTTTTTGTATTTCACAAGTGATATCGTAAATTGTGAAATGGAAAACGTAAATATTGTACCAAGGGTAATTTCTATGTTACTTTCTATATTACTCATCGAATAGTTATTAGTATTCGAGACAGATTGTACTGAGTATTTCTTTACCTTATGATTGATAGATGGAGGTGTTTTCAAATAAAACATCTGTTATGTACCTGTTTAGTATAGTTGTAATGAGGAAATGTCGATGATCTACAAGGATTTGAAATGTACAAAATTTGGTAAATTGTGCAATTAGAAGTTTGAGAAATTGGCAAATTGAAAATTTGGATACTAGAGGAATTGGAGCTTTCAATATTTGGGAATTTGGGGATTTGGAGATTCGGAAATCAGGAATTTTGAGAATGTATGCATTTGGGAAATAAGGAATTTTGAGACTAGAAAATTTGGGAATGTGGGGATTAGGGAATTCGGTAATTTGGGAACTAGGAAGTTTGAGCATTTGGAAATTTGGAAACTAAGGAATTTGGGAACTAGAGAACTTGAGAAATAGGGAATTAGGGATCTAGGGAGGTTGGGAACTAAGGAATTTGGCAAGTAGAGAATTTGGGAACTTGGCAATTTAGAAACTAGCGAATTTGGGAACTAGGAAATTTTGGAACTAGGGAATATGGAAACTAAGGAATTTGGGATCTAGGGAATTTGAGAACTAGGGAATTAGGGGACTAGGGAATTTGGGGTTTAGGGAATTTGGGGTCTAGGGAATTTGGGAACTAGAGAATTCGGGATCTAAGTAATTTGGGAACTAAAGAATTTGGGGTCTAGGGAATTTGGGAACTACGGAATTAGGGGACTAGGGAATTTGGGAACTAGGGAATTTGGAAACTAGAGAGTTTGGAAACTAGGGATTTCGGGAACTAGAGAATTTTGGAACTAGGGAATTTGGGGTGTAGGAAATTTGGGAACTAGGGAGTTTGGAAACTAGGGAATTTGGGAACTAGGGAATTTGGAATCTAGAGAATTTGGGGGCTAGGGAATTTGAGCTCTGGGGAATTGTAAAATTATGGAATTGGGGTATTGGAAAATTTGGAAATTTGGAAACTAGAAAATTTTTAAACTAGGGAATTTGAGAGTTTGGGAACTTGTTAATTTAGAAGTCCAAAAATTGAAAACCTGAAATTTCCAAATTTCCAAATTTGAAAACATACAAAACTAGAAGTATAAAAATTCAGCAAAAATAAGGAAATGCCATACTTAAAAATTCTCAAGTCTCCAAATTAAAATATTCTGCACCTCTCAAATGTTCCCACAGTCTGTCCACTCACGGACGCACTCATTCACCAATAATTAGCAACACCATACAAAAGAATAAAATTACTCTAAGAAGGAGAAATAAGTCATTGTAAAACAATCGCATTTATCCTTCTCGTTAAACACGACTACATACGCTATAATAATTGCTAAACTACAGATGGAAGCATTGAAGCAATGATAATGAACTGTGACCAAGTAAGGAGGATGTTCAGAACGGTAACAGCAGTCACACTACGAAGGACAGTGCAAATGAAGTTCACCCGGTGCATCCATTCCCTCGTTTTTCCATTGATGATACTGAAAGTGAGCTCGATCGTCGTCTGGTCGTGGTAATGAAAGTAGGTAAGCGAATTTTCTTCCGAGAAACCAGCTGTGGGATCGAGCACAACTCATAACCGATAAAACACTTTAATGTTCGTTCCATTCTACGTGCACTGCTATTCAAAAGTCATAGAGTGGTCGGGAAGTAATATTTTGATTCGAGATTTGATCATTTTTCAAGAGAATGAATGAGGTCTTTAAAATGTTATTAGGAAAATTTTATTTTATTTTGCATTTTAGTTATCTCGTAGTATTATAGCATACTTCAAGTATTGAATTATTGTATAATAGATTTGAGTAATTACAAATTTTATATTATATTTTGTTTTTCTATGTGAACCTACTTTTAATATCTCAGGTATTGAGTTATATATATAATCTATTAAAGGAACTGAATATTTTACAATAATAATCATTGAGAATATTAAATGAACTAAAATCGTGGACCAAATGCTATATTAATAAAAATCACCTCTTCTGTTTGAAACTTCTTGAAAATGTTAAATTTTGTCAAACCTTGATGTGAAGTAATAAGGTGTCATTAATGTCAGCGAAAGTTTCAATCAGTCGTCTGATGTTTGAAATAGCATATACCTAAATTTGTTAACCAAATATTACAATAATACATACTACCTCCTCTGTTTGAAACTTCTTGAAAATGTTAAATTTTGTCAAACCTTGATGTGAAGTAATAAGGTGTCATTAATTTCAGCGAAAGTTTCAATCAGTTGTCTGATGTTTGAAGTAGCATATACCTAAATTTGTTAACCAAATATTATAATAATACATACTATTTCCTCTGTTTGAAACTTCTTGAAAATATCAAATTTTGTCAAACCGTAATGTGAAGTAACGTCATTAATATCAGCGAAAGTTTCAATCAGTCGTCTGAAGTTTGAAGTAGCGTCTGTTCCTTACGCAGCGTGTGAAGTAGGAACATCAATTACAGCGACTCTCCCAAATTAAGATGCAGCGTTTTCAAGGCAATTTAGATATCGTCGATGATCGTTCCACGCGATATCATTGCTACTTTCTTCTAATATCCGCGAGGATTTATACTCAGAGCATTCATCGCGGTTAAAGCACAATTAATTAATAATTTGAAATCACGTTGAACGCTCCGTTGAGCTTCCTAGTTTCTAATAAATTTATCGATGCTGATTTCAGGGATAACAGATGTTATCTTTGTAACTATAGGTAAACAGTCTATGGACGACGTTGGTGTTTCGTTTAAAGGCAGATTAAATCAGACAAAAGTGTTAATTTTTATTGGTTTCTCGTCCATTATTGTCGACGTTTACAGTATACGTTGCTCATTGTTTACAGTATACAGTCTCAGTGCAACAAGAATGGCAAGAAAACAAATATTGTTAGATTAAAATACCAGTTAAGTTACCTTTCATTAATTGGGGTGTGTGTAATTTATTTAAAAAGTTAAAATATGTCAAAAATAATTGGTAATTTCTGAATTTGGAAAAATACAAGTAGAACTAAATTTCTTTATTTAATTTACAGCCTGTATTTATCGAACAGATTAAATCTGAATACTTTTTAAATTTTGCTAAAAAAATATGTTCTTTTAAAACAATTTTTTACTAGTTGTTATTTTGAAGATGTATCGTGTTAAAAAATTTCTGTTCAATTGAACAGTGGTCGAATTAGTGTCCTACAATTTATAGATACGTTCATATTAAGTAATCTTAATCACATAATTCAGAAGATGAATGATTTATTATGTGTCGACAGATGTAGGTTAAATACGGGTTCCTAAATTTATAGATCAGATGGAATATGATTTATTGTTTCTTTTGGTACGTACAGTCATTGTAACTAGTGGAAAATTTGGAGATTTGGTAATTTGGGGATTTGGAAATTTAAGGGTTTGGAAATTTAGGGGTTTGGTAATTAAGGGATTTGGGACTTTGGGGATTTGGTAATTTAGTGATTTGGAAATTAGGGAATTTGGAAATTTAGGGGTTTGGAAATTTGGAGATTTGGTCATTTAGTGGTTTGGAAATATAGGGATTTGTAAAATTTGGAGATTTGGTAATTTAGGGGTTTGGAAATTTGGAGATTTGGTAATTTAGGAGTTCGGAAATTTGAAGATTTGGCAATTTAGGGGTTTGCAAACTTAGGGGTTCAGAAATATAGAAGTTTGAAAATCTAGGGATGTGGAAATTTGGGGGGTTAAAAATCTAGGAATTTGGAAATTTGGGGATTTCGACAATGAAGCTTGACAATTTGAAAATTTGATATTTTGGTAATTTAAAGATTTAGAAACATGAAACTTAAATAACTAGAATTAATAAATTATTAATATGAAAATTAATAGTTATATAAAATATAGAATTTCAGACCTAGCAAATTTGGTGAATCATAAATGTAAGAATTTGCAAATATCCCCAAAATTCCTCATCCTCCACAGAAAATTATTCGACACCCACATAAACGTCTCCACAAATGAAATCAAACGTGAAATCTATTCCCTACGCCATTTAATCTTAAAGACCACCCTCAACAACCAAAATTGCCCGAACATAAATCACATTTCCCATTCTTCTGTCAGCACGTTAAAAAAGGCTCTGTCCCGAAAGCATAGGCTGAATTGCATCACAATCAAAGATCACTTCCCGTCAAAGCAGATCATTATCGATTCGCGCTTATAAAACGCTTCTCTCATTGCCCGTGCGAGCTCGACCTATATCCATCAAGCCGGACGCGTTTCGTGTGTGTGTGTCCACACGTTCTCATAATGCAACTTACGTTCACGCACTCCCATACAATTTGGCAATGTCAGGCCCGTGGCGTTCTGGTTTGGCAATGGCCATGCCCCATGCTTCGGCCTCCGAGAATCTAATTTGTGATTGTTACACGCCGTACAAGAGGACGGAGCAGCCCCCACTATAAAGCAAAAGCATTCGTATAGGTTATAAAGGACCGAGCTCAGCACTATACGACTGCACTCTCTCAGTGAAACTCTCGAAGGATCGTTCTTCGGCTACTTGTACCCTCCTCGTCTGCAACGCGTGCAACATGAGGATTATATCTCTGGTATGTACTGTATCTTTTGCAACCCTCTAGCGATTTGGATTTAAGTTACAGTGGCGTTGACAGGTTCAGTGGACATTTTGGGTGATTTGTGTTATTGTTTTATGGGGAGGTATATGAAGATTTTGGCTAGTTTGATGGATTTGGTTAATCTGATAGGAAGTTTTTGTATCGTTTAACCCTTTATATTCGAAAGGTGACCATCAACATTTAATACAATTTTACCTATGCATTTTTTAACTAAATTACATACATATGTGATGTGTACATGCAGTGAAACAACAATACAGAAAATTAATAATAGAAGAATAATGACCAAAAAATTTATGAAACTGTTCAAGTAGAAAGTTGCTATTGAGTTGCTATTTACAAATAGAAATACCTTAGAGATCAGAGGGTTTGATCACGCTCGTTTAAATCTTGCAACTTTGTGCTGTCTCTGTAGGAACACCCTTTAATTTAGAAATTAGAACATCTGTTGAAAAGACAATTTAAAAATGATTAAATTAGTCAAATTCAACAGTGAATTTCTTTATTCTCACACGATTATATGGTCCTTCGACTCAGATAACTCAAATGCACAATATTTTGAAGAACTCGATTCAAAACTCGAGTTCTAAACAAATGTACCAATATAAATTTGAAATTTTCCTCTACGATGAAAAATGAGGGTTTACGGAAGTACAGAAAAAGTATGTTTCAGGAAAAGTTTATATTTGACGATTGACAGGAGATTTTTATAATTTATCCTATATCGTTGATTTTATTTTTACTGCAAATTTTTTTGATGCAAAACGCAGATTATTTAGTGTACGGTTTCGAAAAGCTTCAGAAAGACAAGTATGCTCCATGTCAATATTTAACAGAAGATTTTATAATTTATTTGAAATCATTGATGGTTCAAATTGTGTTTGTAATACAACCTTATATCTATGAAGTTAATTTCCATCGAATTTTTGAAATACTGCATTGATCTTGAACTTCCCTTATGATATGATCTTAATATGATCTTAAATATATTTTTCAAAGTTCTGAATCTATATCTTCATAATTTTAATCCATCTTCTATCTTCATTATATGATTCTTTGTAATTTTTTTTTTTTTTTTTTTCAAATAAAATTCATTCGATGAAATTATGGTTGAACATAACGAGACTTGAAACGAAAGCTATTTAATTTTATTTAGCAGGGATAGAAATAATAAATTACCGTAAGTGAAAATGTTAGATAAAACTTATAACACTGGTGATTTTTAAGTGGTTTGCGATGCTTCAGGAGATCATTAATTAATTTTAAACATTGATAGCTTAATACTATTGTAGAAAGTAACCTTCATACACTATTAGGAGTCATGAATAATACAAAAAGAGTTTTATACCTATATTTTGTTCCGCCATTGTGACTGCAGGATTCAGTAATAAAGGTTTTAGAGGGAGAGCGACTTAATCGTAAGAAATTCTATAAATAATAATAGTGAAAAATAGCACTTCATTTATCGACAAATTAAACCTGAAATGACTGAAAGATATTTGGCTTCTAACATTTTTGTATTGTAATTTTATTTTTTTGAATGAGTCTATTATTTCCTTGACTCATTTTAAATGAGTCTATTATTTCTTAATGAGTCTATCATTGAAATATTTCCAGGTCAAATATTTTCATTTTATTCACAACGAAATTTCACTATTTATCAAAAGAGTTCTTATAGAACTGGTGACCCACTTGTAAACGTGACAGTCATAGAATGAAATTTTTCAATTACCTGTTCGGAATATTAAAATTATACCGTGTTGACACGAAGAAGACCAAATAATGGATATTATACCTAATTATTCTAATTGTATGTATTTAGAATGAGATATATCTTGCGATAAACGCGTGATGTTTTAATTATTCAGATGAGCGACACAATTCCTCAGATAAATACTGTGATTATTTTAAACAGTGCATCTATCTCGTGACAATCATATTAATCTACCTTTCTCATAATTATAGAGCTTTAATGTAATAGCAAGATTATATTACTTTCAATTAAGATCTATATTTAATTTCTTCTACCGCCATATTAAAAATGGTGAATTTATGATATATTCAAATAATATTTATTTAAATATATTGTTCAGACGAAACGTGACACTTCGTAATAGTATACTAAAGAATTTTAAACTCTCAGACTATGAATTACTATTTTGCCACACCATTTTCGTTGAACTCTTACTTTCATCGTTGAAAGTGATTTCAATGCCGCGATAGACAGTGTTAGAACCCTACAAATAGGAGTGTTCGCTTCTGTCAAAAATGATGCAATAAAACACGTACTGAATACTTTCGATTTACTTTCGAATCCATATTAGGAGCAATATGGAGTGATCGATGTATTGGGTAGACAAGAAGTTTCGATATCAACATCGTTGCTGAAACAAGATTCATTGTAACCTTCTTGGGAATTTAGCTGCTACTCACTTTTTTGTGTTAATAATTCATCGTGTGCAGTAATGCTGCTTTTTGTGTTTATAGTGCATCACATACTGCAATATATCTTTTTTTTATATTAATTGTACATCGTATGCGATGATACTTTTTCTACATTATTAATTTATCACATACTACAATATTTTTTTTTATATTCATAGCATGTCATATACAATTATACTTTTTCTATATTATTAATTTATCACATACTACAATATTTTTTTTATATTCATAGTATGTCATATACAATTATACCTTTTCTATATTAATAATTTTTCACAGACCATAATATTTTTTTTTTATATTCATAGTATGACATATGCAACTACACTTTTTTTTTATATTAATAATTTGTCACATACCACAATGTTTTTTTTTTACATGAATTGTATGTTATATACAATTATATATTCTCTTACATTAATAGTACATCACATATAACAATATATATTTTGTATATTTATAGTACGTCATATACAACTATATTTTTTTTTATATTAATAATACATCACATACCATAATATTTTTTTTTTAAATTAATAATATGTCATATACAATAGTGCTTTATTCAATATTCATAATACCTTCCACACATATAATTCAAATATAATTATTTTTTTATACATTCTTCGTTGAATGACATACTCGTTATTCAACCCTGAAAGTTACTGACAATCTTCATTTTTTTTTTAAATAAAAATAAGCTGCATTTTCACATAACACTAATTGTGGACAAGTACAATTTCAGCAAAAATATATAAATTTTTATATATTCATTTTGCCTTCACTCACTGCGTTACAGCACCAAATATTAAATTTATTAAAAAGAATTAAATAGGTACATTTTTAATACCTCTTCAGAAACAAGGATTACCTTTCTGGTCTAAAAATTTCATTAGTTTCCCATCGAAACTCACCGGTTCATTTGACTAACGAATTGTTATTTATTAGCAAAAATAATGTTGATCAATATCCGTTTTGACGCATTCCTTCCAGCTCACGTGGATACACTTCATTAAAGATTTAACGAGTATGCAAGAAGTACGTTGCAACATTGTATCGTTTCTTGTGTTGCAGTTCAAAGAAAATTAATTATAACTAACGAAAGTATTTTCCTTCTACGATTAAAATTCTACGTTCCTTACTTTACTTTGTGTGGGAACTTTCATCCGTCATAGGTTTCACTCTTCTCCCGTGAGATCGAACAGTCAATTGCGTGAAAATCCTTGTAAAAACGTGTGAGTAATGGTTTGGATTTCTCTGGTTTTTCTTTGGGACGTTTGTGAGGAGGACTAATATTTATAGCATTCGATTCTTCTATTCTTTTGGTACAATAAGGTTGCATCTTTTTGTGAAACATTCTTCTATTGTTTGCAGCTATACTCATTGTGTCAATGTGGCATGGAGTGGATTTAGTGACAGGTGTAGGAGAAATATTTGAGAAAATATATTAGACATTCATCGTATATGGCTAGCAGAAAAATGTCAATACTTATTGTCAGTAATTATATAATATTCTCAATACTTGTTTCAAATAAATATAATAATTTAATAAATAAATACAATCAAATAAATACAATAATTTTAATATACATATATTGACAATAAATATATGTAATTATTACTACATTTCATATCACATAATCATATTACATTTTGATTCTGAATACATACACTATTCTGATTATAAAAATAGTGTTAAATTCTTTTTAACGTTTGATTACTCTTCACATCACACACATATAGTATTATTAAGTGTCTTTAAATAATATATGAGTTCAACAGATTGCTTTGAATTCAACTAAAGCTCAATCATCAAAAATATCATCGAAGAAAATGTGTGACCAGCTAGTAAAGTCTATTACACCTACTTTCACCAGTTTAACGAACCCGTTATCTCCCAGAGTTTTTGCAACCATTACTTCTTCGTTTCATTGTCGCCAATTTCAGTAGCCTTGTTAAAAATGTTCAATAACGACATAAACGATACAAGATACTAAATTAAAAACAATTTCAACGTGACTAGCTAATTCCTTAAATAGTACTTTCACTAAACTATCTCAGGAAACCGCAATCTTTTTGCTTCCTGTAATAACAAGCTTGCCATTAACACATTAATAAACGTAGTTACAAATCAGGAATAATTAAGCAACTGCGGTATTTTAGTACCGCTTTGAACGGTAATTAAAATAGCAGTACGTGTATTACATGGGAGGTTGAATGCAATTAGGAAACGGTTACTGATGTCAACTAATGAGTTGGCGCGTGAGGCTGATGTGTTTAGAAAAGGTACAAGCGGTTAGAATAGAAAAATCCCTTCATTACAAATTTCTTTCATTACATAAATTTCAATCCCTTCATTACATAAATTGCTACAGTTGCAAATCACTGTATTCTCAAGTTTCTAAATTACCAAATTGGTATATCTCCAAATTATTGGGTTCCCAAGTCGGTGTTTTCCTAAATCGGTAAATTCCAAAATTGATATATCCCCAAATTCCTACTTCCCCAAATTTCTACATATCCAAATT